ATCTCCTTCAGTTTTTGTTTGCCTGAGAATGTCTCTATTTCTCCATCATTTTTGAAGGATGATTTTGCTTGATACAAATTCTAGGTTTTTTTTTTTTTTTTCTTTCCACACTTTAAACACTTAACTTCACTTTCTTCTTGATTGTATTGTTTCTGAAGGTAAGTCCAATATAATTCTTATGCTTCTTCCTCTATAGATAAGGTGTCTTATTTCTTCTGACTTTCTTCAAGATTTTCTTATTATTTTTGGTTTTCTGCAGTTTGCATACGCCTATACATGTTGCTGTCGAGTCGATTCTGACTCACAGTGACATTATAGGACAGAGTAGAACTGCCCTAGAGGGTTTCCAAGGAGCAGCTGGTGGATTCCAACTGACTACATTTTGGTTAGTGTTCTCTGAGGTTGCTAATTCTGTGGTTTGGTGTCTGTCTTTAATTTTGTAAGTTTCCCAGTCACTATTATTTCAAAAACTTCTTCTGTTCCTTTCCCTTTTTCTTTTCCTTCTGGTGTTTCCATTACACATATTGTTATGTCTTTTGTAACTGTATAAATACAACAGTTAAAAGACTATCAGTGGATTAAAAAAGTTCTTGGATATTATTTTTTTTCTCTTTGCATTTCAGTTTGGGAATTTTCTATTAACATATATTCAGACTCATGGATTCTTTCATTAGTCATCTTTAATCTATTAATGAGACAATCATAGACATTCTTCATTACTATCACCTTGCTTTTTATTTCAAGCGTTTAGTTTTGATTCTTTATTGGAGTTTCTGTATCTCTGCCTACATTACTTATGTGTTCTTGTGTGTTGTCTATTTTTTCCATTATAGGCCTTAGTATATTAATTATGTTGTTGTTAGGTGTCATTGAGTCAGTTCTGGCTTATAGCAACCCTATGTACAACAAAACAAAACTCTGCCTCGTCCTGCACCATCCTCATGATCGTTGTTATGTCTGAGCCCCTAGTTGCAGCCAATGTGTCAATCCATCTCATTGAGGGGCTTCCTCTTTTTCACTGACCCTCTACTTTACAAGCATGATGTTCTTCTCCAGGGACTGATCCTTCCTGACAACATGTCCAAAGTATGTAAGACAAAGTCTCACCATCCTTGCTTCTAAGAAGCATTCTGGCTGTACTTCTTCCAAGACATTTTTTTGTTCTTCTGGCAGTCCATTGTATATTCAGTATTCTTCACCAACACCATAATTCAAAGGCATCATTCTTCTTTGGTCTTCCTTATTCAATGTCCAGTTTTTACAAGCACATGAGGTGATCAAAAACATCATGGCTTTGGTCAGGCACACCTTAATCCTTAAAGTGACATCTTTGCTTTTTAACACTTTAAAGAGGTCTTCTGCAGCAGATTTCTCCATGTAACGTGTCATTTGATTTCTTGACTGCTGCTTCCATGAGTGTTGATTGTGGATCCAAATAAAATGAAATCCTCGACAACTTCAATCTTTTCTCCATTTATCATGATGTTGCTTTGATTCAGTTTTGAGGACTTTTGATATTAATCATAGGTATGTTAAATTCCTAGTTTGATAATTCCAAATCTCTGCCATATCTGAGTCTGGTGTTTGTTCTGTCTCTTCAGACTGTGAGCTTCCTTGCCTTTTAGCATGGCTTGTAAGTTTTTGTTGAAAGCCAAGCATGATGTATGGGATATGGGGGCATGATGTCAAGGTAAATAGGCTGTCACTGTGAGGTGAGGTGTTATATCTGGTTAGAAGTCAGGCTGTTAAATATGTGCTGTAGCTATAGAAGTCAGAGGTTTCGATTTCTTCTAGTATCCTTGTTTTTGTCTCCCTATTATCTTTAGTTTTCCCCAAAAAACTTCTTCTTGAAAAGACTCTGTCCTACACTTCTTGTAATCCACTTTATATTGAAGTCCTGTTGATATGTGGTAAGATATTGGGAAGGAGAAGCATTCTATAACATTATGATTGAATCTTCATTTTTTATTGGGCCAGATGCCTTGAGCTGTGATGTACAGAAGAGCTTTTTTAGCCTTTTTTATTTTTCCCTCCCCTTATAAGAGACAGAAGGCTAAAAGGGATTGGCGTTGGCTAATTCTCCTTACACCAGGTCAGATAAGTCACTTGTACTATAGTTTCCCTTGAGGGTAGGCCTTTGCTATAGAGAAAAGAATGCTCTGGGCTTATTTCAAAATGCTTATTTTCATCATTCCCCACTGGGAGCATAAGGGGATTTTTCTGATCTTCACTATGAGAATCTGGTTGGTAAAATTCACAAAATTGTGAGAATCCCAGGAGATTTAACTCTAAAGCTAGTCTATATTCAGCCTTTAGCAATTTGTCAAATACCATTTAGAAGTTTCTATCAGTTCCTGGTTCCAGAGGCTTCTGCTCTGATAAGCTGTGATTATCCATATTCGCCTACCTCTGCATTTTGGGGGGGCGATGGTTTTCTTTGTGACTGTAATTCTCAGACAGATCTAAGAAGAGTTGTTGATTTTCAACTTTTATCATACTGTGAGGATGGAAAGAACAATGTCCAAGCTCTTTATATATCAGAGCCAAAAACAGAAGTACCACTGATAGACCTTATGTTGTCACCTGGTCGATCACCCCGGTCTTCACAGGATTCGTGTATTAATACATCACCTGGAAATTCTTGGGAAATAAAGATCATTTTTATGGATTTTATAATTTAAAAACATAAGAAATGAAAAACAGTTTCTCTACATCATGTAATTCAATGGCAACAGGCCCTAGTAAAGTAAGAATTTGACCAATGTGACAATTTATCCAATTTCCGTTTGGACATAAATAACTAAAAATATATAAAAAGGCTTAGAAGTTTGTCTTTTATATCTCTGATGGTCTCCCTTTTGCATACCTCTCCCCCTAGCAGAAACAACCCCTTCCCTCCCAAACTTTAGATCATTGATTCTCAATTTTACCTGCACATTAGAACCCTATGGAGAATTTTGAAGAAAACAAAAATCAATGCTCAGACACTTAAGCCAGAGGTTTTTATTTAATCAGTGTGGGGAGGAATGTGTGCAACTGTCATGGTGTGCAACTGTCATGGATTGAATCGTGTCCCCCAAAAAGCGTGTGTGTCGATTTGGCTGGGTCATGATTCCCAGTATTGTATGATTGTGTACCATTATATAATCTGATGTGATTTCTTTATGTGTTGTAAACTCTATCACTATGATGTAATACGATGGATTAGTGCCAGTTATACTGATGAGGTCTACAAGATTGGATAGTGTCTTAAGTCAATCTCTTTTGAGATATGAAAGAGAGAAGCGAGCAGAGAGACATGGGAACCTCATACCAACAAGAAAGCAGTGCCGGGAGCAGAGCGCTTCCTTTGGATCTGAGGTTCCTGCGCAGAGAAGCTCCCAGACCAAGGAAAGATTGATGACACTGACCTTCCTCCAGAGCCAATGGAACAAGTGTTTCCCTGGAGCTGATGCCCTGAATTTGGACTTGTAGCCTACTGGACTGTGAGAGAATAAACTTCTCTTTGTTAAAGCCATCCGCTTGTGGTATTTCTGTTGTAGCAGCACTAGATGACTAAGACAACTACCAAGGCTAAGAATCAGTGCTACAGAAGCTTGATGCCCTCACCCAAATTAGAAAAACAGAAGTATTTGAAATCAACCAAATAGCACATGTTGGCTAAGTGATTGACTATACCATAGCAAGGGTAATTTTCTAATACTACATTATCTCAATCCATCATTGTATTTTAAGTATTTTGTCCTAATTGTAGAATGAAACTTTTGTCTCTGATTAAAGAAAACCCAGTCATGGGCAATTAAGAAGAAAGATGTCCTTTTCCAGAGGCTGTTCGATCTTTATTAATTTCTTCCAAGATCTGAAATATTCTGTTTCCTATTAGGCCAATAAAGGATCTAATTGTTCCCTCTACCATACCTATCACCAAAAAGCTCCTAATTTCATAATTTATGCTTTTTGGCATAAATCAATTAACAGTAGTAGTATTTATTTACCCCTCTACAGAGCAGGTGGCTGTGATTCCTATATTGCTTCTACCTTTGGTTAAAAAAAAATTCTAACAATGAATTGTCTACTTCCACACTCAGAAGTATGGACCTTTGCATCTGTAGCAGGCTGCACTATGTAATCATGAAAAGCTTTAGAAAGAAAATGTCAGTTTCAGATAAAAACATTTGCCTCCACCTTGTGGATGGCAGATCTAAGTGCAGATGACTGCAAAAATAGATTTTGAAATCAGATTTCAGTAAAATTGATAATATATAGCCATCTGGAGTATGTTACATTGTGCTGAAGTTTTATTTAGAACCATATGAAAAACTTAGAGACAAATTAATAGGATACAAGAATTTTCAACTTTTATTCTCAGAGATTTTTACAACTACATCAATTGGGCAACTTCATATACACAGACTAAATGACCCATCCAAATTTTTCTTTTAGTTTCTAAAATGCTTAAGGATTTGGGAGAAAATTAGACCCATTTTATCTCTTAAAAGATGATAGTGGCGGGGTATGATTATCTTCTCAATATTAAGGTCCTGCAAAGGAGCCCTGGGAACCCTGGTGGTACAGTGGTCAACAGCTACAGCTACTAATCAAAAGGTCAGCAGTTCAAACCCACCAGCCACTCCTTGGAAATCTTATGGGGCAGTTCTACTCTGTCCTATAGGGTTGCCATGAGTCAGAATTGACTCGGCGGCAACAAGTTTGGTTTTTAGTTGCTAAGCTTAGTGTTCACTGTCATATAGCTATCTCCTGACCTCTAATTTTTAGGACAGAGGCTCTGATGGTGCAGTGGTTAAGCTCTCAGCTGCTAACCGATAGGTTGGCGGTTCGAATCCACCAGCTGCTCCACAGGAGAAAAATGTGGCAATATGTTTCTGTAAAGATTATAGCCTTGGAAACCCTATGGGGCAGTTCTACTCTGTCCTTTATGGTAGCTGTGAGTCAGAATCAACTCAATGGCAATGGGATTTGTTTGAAACTTAGTGTGGAGGGCAGTGATGGTTCAGTGGTAGAATTATTGCCTCCCATGCAGAAGACCCAGATTCGATTCCTGGTCAATGCATTTTATGCACAGGCACCACCCGTCTGTCAGTGAAGACTTGCATGATGCTGTGATGCTAAACAGATATCAGCAAAGCTGTAAGACTAAGACAAACTAGGAAGAAAGTCCTGGCAGTCTACTTCCAAAAATCAGTCAATGAAAATCCTATAGATCACAACAGTCCAATCTCATTATACTGGAATTGCCATGAGTCAAGGCCAACTTGATGGCAGCTAACAAGAGTAGGCTTAGGGTAAAAAGAAATGTAAGAATAGCAATAATACACTTTATACTTTTCAAAGGACTTTCCTGTTTATTATCTCATCTAATTTGCATCACAGTCATATGAGACAGTTAATCCAGGTTCTATTACATCTAAATTACAGATTAAATGGGATCAGTGACATGAACATGCTAATAATGAGGTCACACAGCTAGCAAACAGCAAACATGGTGATCTAACAATAGAAAACATTTGCTGAGTACTTTCCGTAAGTCAGGTTCAGCACTTACTACTTTGAACTATACATCACTTATCTATTGCTTTGTAACAAACCACTAAACTATAGTCTTAACCTCTATATTTTCTTGATGCTGAAATTGGTAGCTGGTTATATACTAGCAATTCTGAAGTGTATTTTACTATCAACCATCATTATCCAGTTAAAAATATAGCAAAGCATATAGTTATATCTCCCTTTATCCTAGTTTCACAGGAAAATCAGACCTAGCCAGGCTATGTTCTGAGGAATATATATCTTTTAAATAAACATTTACTGAGTATCTAGTCAGCATCTGCAAATCAGTCACTATCCCCAAAGGAACTTCTACTTTAGTAGAGAAAATAAACATGCATAATGATAAACTGGGGAATGAATAACACAGACAGAGACAAGGGAACTAAACAGTGAGGATGAGCTGAGAAGAAAACTGGTCAGCAGTAAGTTTCCAAATGTGAATATTGGCTAGGGTTTTTTAAGGTGAAATTGTGCTCTATGCAGTAAGTCAGCTCCAGGGCAGATTACTTTATAAGGTTTCTTGTCTCATGCCAGGATCATATTATCTGTTTTTATTTCTCTTCCTGCATCTCTCCAGACCAAGACAGTGTCCCCGAAATTCCACCAAAGTGTTGAAATTTTAAAGGACATTGAGGACAGTAAATCCATCATTGGTTTCTAGTTGAAAAGTCACCAGAAGTTGTTTGGTTTTGTTTTTTGTTTATTTGAATGATAGGTGAGAAAATGACACATCAAATAGTAAGGAAAATAAGTCATCGTGTCTCCTATACAGTCAGGTTCAGGGCCACCTATCTGGGCAAATAGAGCAGAAGCAAACATGTCTTTCAAGGCCCTCAACCAGTTCTGGACTCCCTTTGTACTTTAAACCAAACCAAACCAGTTGCTATTGAGTATATTCCAATTCATGGCAACCCCATGTGTGTCAGAGTAGAACTACTCCATAGGGTTGATTTTTCAAATGGTTGATTTTTGACACGTGGATTGCTAGGCCTTTCTCCCAAGGTGTCTGGGTGAACTTGAACCACCAGCATTACGGTAAGCAGTCAAATGTGCTAACCATTTGCACTACCCAGGGATTCTCTTTGTCCTTTTAAGAACCCTTTTCTTTAGCTCAAACTCTCCTCAAGGATTTCAGGGTTCTGGTAACAGTGAAAATAATGCCTTATGTTTATATATTTCTTGACACTTATCAATGCATTTTTGCTTTCATTATTACATTTGATATGTTTTTTCCAGTCCCCAAAATGGACTAATACCTTGAGAGGACTCAATTTAGAATTTTCTTTCCCAGAAATATTTGTTTCTTAAAACATACTGACTGAAAGTAGAAGCCAAAGGGCTCAATACGTAGCTCCAATTTTAGAAACACATGAGTGGGAGAAATATTTTAGAGCAGTAGACTCCTCTGGGGAAGCAGATTACAGCATGTGGATGTGTCCTCCCTGCCTATTTGTGAGACCAACCCCACAGTGATCTTACACATTCTTACTAATGACCCCTTCCCCAAACAAAATTGACTCAACTAATTCTCTGATGTAATTGCCTTTGGAAATGTAAGACATCAACTCAAATTCATAGAAGCATGTAAATAACTGAGATCACAGGTACTTTCTTAAAAGCTAATTTTGTTGGAAATGAGTGGAGCAAAAGCCATTAACAGGGGTGAGATTCAAAATATTTAATAATTGGTATGGCATAGGTCCTGACTAATCAGAGCAGGACATGGGCTGATAAAGACAGACGATGGCCATGAACAACTGGTAACTGGCTCAGCCATATTGGTGGGTTCCTCTGAATATAAGCCTTGGCCATTAGGAAAAAGAGTAACTGAGGTAGTTGCGAAAAACTTGGGAGAAGAAGGGCCACCAGAAGATAGAGTGAGAGAACCAAAGACAAATTTTACCCATTTGGAAAGTTTTTAGGTCAACGTTTTTTAATGTAACAAGGAATATAACAAAGTACTCTTAAAGCTAAGTAAATAATTTAAATAGAGATCTAAGTCAAATATAGACTTATTTAGCAGAAACAAAATCAACAATATTTTTTAAACTATTGCCTACATCAGTAATCTGATGTCAGAAGTAGTTATATAGACTAAGTTTAGATGTTATAAAATTAATCAGATGAACATAAGAAATTAGTATAAACTCAGAATAAGGCCAAAAGGGCTACAGACATAAAGGGGGGTAGGGGAAGTGACTAATTTTAATTTACAATAAGTTTTTCTCATCCCATTTATCATATTTATAGCTTATTGTCATTCATAAATCCCCATTTAATATACTCAAGTTGAACCAACAATTACACTCAGTAGTTACTCTAAGTTCTGATAGATTGCTTCTGTGTAAAAGCATTACATTGTGAAGCATCAGCAGATATTAACTCAAAAAACTGCAATAACGCCCTAAATAATGAAATTTGTGATTAATTTTGGTACAATAAAATCAGTGTTCTCATCAGTTGGCCATTATATAATTAGTATTATATATATATATATATACATATATATAAAATAAGCACTATATATATATAATTAGCATTATGTATATAATTAGCATTATATGTATGTATTTTGCAGTTCAATTATTTTATTTTTTTATTTGTGCTTTAGGTGAAGGTTTACAGAGCAAGTTAGTTTCTCATTAAACAATTAATACACATATTGTTTTGCATTATTGGTTGCCAACCCTGCGATGTCAGCACTCTCCCATTCCTGACCTTGGGTTCCCCATTTCCATTCATCCAGCTTTCCCGTCCCCTCCTGCCTTCTCGTCCTTGCCCCTAGGCTTCTGTGCCAGTTTAGTCTCATATACGTGGTTGACCTACATGTATTATTGTTTGTTTTATGGGCCTGTCTAATCTTTGGCTAAAGGGTAAACCTCAGAAGTGACTTCAGTACTGAGTAAAAAGGGTGTCCGGGGGCCGTACTCAGGATTTCTCCAGTCTCCATCAGGTCAATAAGTCTGGTCTTTTTTGTGAGTTTGAATTTTGTTCTACATTTTTCTCCAGCTCTGTCTGGTACCCTCTCTTGTGATCCCTGTCAGAGTAGTCGGTGGTGGTAGCTAGGCACCGTCCAGTTGTGCTGGACTCTGTCTGGTGGAGGCTGTGGTAGTTGTGGCCCATTAGACCTTTGGACTAATCTTTTCCATGTGTCTTTCATTTTCTTCATTCTCCCTTGCTCCAGATGGGGTGGGACCAATGGAGTATCTTAGACGCCCACTCACAAGTTTTTAAGCTAGTCACCAAAGTAGGATTTAGAGCATTTTCTTTATAAATTATGTTATGCCAGTTGAGCTAGGTGTCCCCAGAGACCATAGTCCGCAGCCCTCAGCCCAGTAGCTCAGTCCCTCAGGGAGCTTGGATACGTCTGTGAAGCTTCCATGACCTTGCCTTGATCAAATTGTGTTCCCTTCCCCAGTATTGTGTACCATAGTTTGTTTATCCATTAATCTGTTGATGGGCACTTAGGTTGTTTCAATATTTTTACTATTGTGAATAATGCTGTAATGAACGTGGGTGTGCATATGTCTATTCAGCTCTTATTTCTCTAGGATATATTTCTAGGAGTGGGATTGCTGGATCATATGGTATTTTTATTTCTAGCTTTTTAAGCGCCATTTCATTTCCCGAAATGCTTGTACCATTTTACATTCCCACCAGCAGTGCAAAAGAGTTCCAAACTCCCTGTAGCCACACCAACAGTTGTCATTTTCTGTTTTTTTGATTTGTGACAGTAATGCTGGAGTAAGATGGTATCTCATTGTAGTTTTGATTTGCATTTCTCTAATGGCTAGTTATGTCAAGCATTTCCTCATGTGTCTGTTAGCCACTTGAATGTCTTCTTTGGTGAAGTGTCTGTTCATATCCTTTGCCCATTTTTTAGTTGGATTATTTGTCTTTTTATTGTAGAGGTGTCAGATTTTCCTGTAGATTTTCAAGATGAGACCTTGTTGGATATGTCATAGCCAAAATTTTTTTTCCAGTCTGACGTTTCTCTTTTTACTCTTTCAGTGAAGTCTTTTAATGAGCATTGTTTAATTTTTAGAAGATCCCAGTTATCTAGCTTATCTTCTGGTGTTTGTGCATTGTTAGTTATAGTTTGTATCCTATTTATGCTGTGTATTAGGGCCTCTAGCATTGTCAACATTTACAGATTGACATCTCTAGTTCCCTGTTTTGAATCTTTTAGTTTTGTCTTATCCATAAGGGTTCATTACCTAGGTCGGTATTTCACTGGTACTGACTTGTGTCCTAGATTCAGGTTGTTGTCTGACGTTGTTGGTTCTCTAACCAAAGGACTCCCTTTAATAATTCTTTTAAGTTTGGTTTGGTTTTTTTAAAATTCCCTTAATTTCTATTTATCAGGAAATGTCCTAATTTCACCATCATATATGAGAGAGAGTTTTGCAGGTTATATTATTCTTGATTGGTAATTTTTTTCTTTCAAGATTTTATATCTATCATCCATTGCCTTCTTGTCTGCCTGGTTTCTGGCAAATAATC